ATTTAAAAAGGAATTCTTGTGTAAGAAGAGCACATGTGTTGTAGAGAAAAGAGGATTTTAAGGTAACTGTTAATATAAATCAAATCTTTTGCTGAATATTTAGTTATGGTGAGAACAATAAAAAATTACTGATTTTATTCACAAAATTTCAAACTTAGAGTAAAATATGTGATTACAGCCTTGTACTAGATTATGACAAAGTCTCAATTGGAATACTGTGTTTAGTTTGACTCCCCCCACCTCCTTATTAGAGAGAAAAATATTCAAATGTTACACAAGGTTCCAAGAAAGGATAACAAGAATGATTTATGATTTGAGTTATTTATGATATGAAGAGAGGCTTACAATTTAGGCTTCTTTTTCCTTTAGCAAAGATACATTTCAGAGGACTTTATTCAAGTGCTTAAACACACTTCCTATGGGTTGTCTGTACGAGCAGTGGAAAGAAAAAAGAATGGAAATAAAATGTTGAGTAAGTATATACTGTGGTTGTAAAGGACTATATTTAAGTGAATATGTTTTGATTTTTCTGGTTTGGGGTGGTCTAAATAAGCTGATTGACCTACTGTTATCATGCTTATTTTTCTTGAATGCTTTTATAAATGAAAAATTAAAATAATTTCCATAAAGCAAGTGGTATTTTATTTGTTCAAGAACATGGATGGTAGGCTTAATGGTCTGAAGAACCAACTGCAGGTGTTTCAGTGGCAGTCAAGGAAAAATAATGGCTAATTTCAGGGCAAGATAAAGAGAAAGCAGGGCAAATTTTAGAGAAAATGGGGAATAATAGTAAAAAACAAAACAAAAGAGTGGATGGTAATATTAAACATTAAATAGTTAATTACATACTCACCTAGGAGTTTAGATATGTTCTTACAAGTTTGATACACAAGGTCTCTCAATATCAAGAAACCTCCTCAGTGAAATCTCAAACATATGCATCACCCAGAATGTCACTCAAAAGGTTTCTTCCATAAACAACTGACCAGAAAAGGCAACACACACATACAGACACACTTCTACTCAAAAAGAAGAAAAAGTAGAGCATTTCGAACAAACAAAAAAAAAAAAAACAGTGAGAAATATGATAAAACTGAAAAATAGGGAACATTAGAATGTTTGCAACCAATAATCTAATTTTTACTTTATATATGACAGCAACATGACCTTGGATGCATCATGAGAGTTCTTTATGTATTAGTAACACATGGCATGTTTTTCGATCTAAGTCAATGTTGTAAAAACACGAGAAGAAATTAAGATGACAGAAGGCCATTTGTTCTTAGCTACTCACAAACATTAATATCTTAAAGTACCATATATAAGATTAACAGAAAATTTAATGTTGTTTGTTAAAATATGTTAATCAAGGCCATTTGAGGAACATTTTTAAAATGTGTATAATTAAAAATTTTCATGTCTTCTCTTAAGCTTAGAAGAACTAAAGGCAAGTTGACTGAGGTATTTAAAACTGTTAGCAGGTGGATAGACTGCCCACTGGAGGTCTACTTAAGTAGTATAATGATAAGATTGGATAGCCTAGCTTAAATATTTGGGATAACAAGTATACTTTTTGAAACACAGATAATGACTTGTTCACTAAATCTGTTACAAATAAAAACCTGTTTAATGGCATAACAAATGGGGTGTCCTGTTAATTAAACACATTTACACTAATGTTCATTGAAAAGGTTCTGTATATGGAAATGAAAAGGTAAATTTAGGTTGATAGTTGATTTAATTTATCCTTAAATAGGTGGATGCCTGACCTCAATGGTCCAGACTACTTTCTGTGACATCATTTGTCCTTACATTTCTTTATTTGTTTTAACAAATTTACATGTTATTGTGGTATACACAATAACAGACATTATTCACATACAAGACAATGAAATATTTTACTAAGAGGTAAAAACAACTACTTTTAGTTTGTTCAGAATTAATATTAATTTCTTATCAGAGAAAGCTACCTACAAAGGCCTGGTGATTAATGAACTCGACTCGCATGCTGAGAGTTGCAAGTTCAAATCCCTGTCATCGAACATGTTCATCCTATATGGTTACCAACTGTGCCAGCCACCCAGGTGTAAAAACGGTAGCCAGAAATAAAGTTACAATTTTGGCATTGAAAAAAGTCACAAATTTTTTAATATCCAAGCACATTGCAAAGTGATACAACAAAAACATTTTTAAGTTACTTATCTATTGCAATAATAGCATAATGCATGACATGTAACATTATATGAAAAGAGGCATATATGACATCAGTCATTACATGATTGAGTGGAATAATTCAATAACTTAACTTCTATGAATTAAAAAATTATAAACATAAATTTTCGAATTGTGACTTTTTTTCTTACATTCGTATTACTTCTTGACTTACAAAAATACAGACTGACCCCAAATTAGTTGGGATTAAGGTCGTAATGAAAAAAAAAAAAGAGCAAGCTACCTATTGGTATATTTTTAAATGATTTCTCAATAAATTAGAATAGTAAAGCTGAGAAGTCTTACAAATTCATTAATAAATAACTGAAAGGAGATACAAGCTGCATTCATTTATTATACATACTTTTGATGCTGAAATAAAGAAAGTAGATGTTTAGTATTTCTAGAAGAAAAATAAAATATTAAAGAAGTTACAAATGGTATAAGTTATATAATACAAATAAAATGAAATTAGAGTAAAGTACTGTAACTTTACTGTTTAGATTTACAAATTTAACTTAAACCTAAGACTTATTTTAACTGTTACCAGTTTTGAACAACAAAATAGTCATGTTAGAGCTTCAAGATTCTTAAAGATTAAACAACCTCTTCAATGTCAAACATGATTTCTTGGCTATTATAAGAGTGTAGAATCTACGTTTCCAAAAACACAAGTGTAACTTGTTAGAAAGCTTGCTTTACAAAGCTGTACTTTACAGTAGTACCATTACTAGGCTGTAACTTGTACTGCACTAATACCTTCAACAAAGAGATAATGAGGCTTTAACTCGTTATAAGATGAACTAGAGAAACTCCTAATGTTTGGAAGATTGCCAGTTTCTTCCCCTTTTTTTTTTAAATAAAAGGTCTAGGGAGAATCCGGAGAACTATAGACCTATTAACCTGGCTTATGTTATTAACAAAACCTGTTAAGTCATTTAGAAATTTGGCTTTTAATGTTTCTAAGGATGGCTTTAAAAATGAAATTTTTATTGCCAAACTAACTTGAATTGCTTCATAGTGCCTCCACTTTTTTTTAATTAGGGTATCTCAGTTGATGTCATATGCATATACCTTGGCATTCAGAAAACTCTTCATAAGGTGCCTCATAAAACACTATATAGTAAGATGGATGCTTATGAGATCAATAGAAAATTGACTTAGTGGTAGACAGCAATAAAGAATGACAAACTGAACTTTTGTGACTGGGAAAGTATGGTTAGTGGTCTTTATTGTTCACCAGTTATATTAATGATTTAAATGATGTTTTGGACAGTAGCAGTATTTCAAAATTTGTTGATGACACTAAAGTGTTGGAGTCAATTCTGTTGAAAACCTTCTCTTATCCAGTTTTAATGAATGATCCACAATGTGAAAGATGTGTTTTAGTACTGAGAACTGTAGAGCTAAGCAGTCAGGGAAAAGAAATTTGGAAAATATTTCCTTCTTGTGTAAGAAGAGCACTAGTATTGTGGGTATTTGCTTATGACTGTTAATAACTACTAAATCATCTGTTCAGTGTTCAAATGTGGTAAAAACTGCAAACAGAGTTATTAGTTTTATTTCAGGAATTTTTAGCTTAACAGTAATGAGATTACTGAAGCTTTGTAGACAACTATTGAGATCTTATTTGGAGTAATATATGTTTAAGACAGTGAGAGAGACAAGAGCTATCTGTGCTGTTTACCCTAGAGCAAAGAAGAATTATGGAAGGAGGACTAGATACATGTATACAAAATTTTTAAGCACTCCTTCTATTAGTTGTAAGTTTAAGAGGTGGAGTGAAAAGTTGGAAATGCAAACTTAAATATTAAATTTAAACTTTGGAAGAATAAATTCAAATTATTCTTAGGCAATTGTGTATTTGATTAAAAATATAAATTTATGAAAGGTTCACAGTTTGCTTGATAATATAGTTTGTGCTGTTAGTTTGATTTTTTTTTTACAATTTTGTTAGGTATGTGTATATGGTTATAAAGGGTTACATAAGTAGACACTTTTTATTATGTCTCTTATTATTTCTTCTCCAATTTGCGTGGTTGATGGATGGCTTTAATGGGCTTAAGAGATTTATTTTTGTCATCTTTCCTTTTAAATTTTCTATATTTTATATGCCTTGTGGTTTAAATGGCAAAACCTGGCAAATTATTAAAAATCAATAAGCCTAAAAATTGTTATAAAAACAAAGTTAACCGACTCAAAATCTTAGGTGTGTGTGTAAAAGTAGTCTAATTACTTAGTTCTGGTTTTGAAGGAAAAGATTCTTGAACAAGAATTGTGGGAAACAAAAGATTAGATTTGAAATTCTTTTTACATACCTCTTATATTGTGCTGCAATGGGCAAATTCAGAATATGAAAAAAATAACATCTACAGTTAACCTGGTTTTTATAACAATTCTTGTGATCTTTTAGCATACAACAAATATTGTTAGCACCACTATAGTACTAGTAGTACTAACTCAGTCAGACAAAAAGTTTAAAATTAAATATATAATATAATATATAGTATATATTAGTTTCTCTAAACAATTCAGAGTGAACCTGATAATTAAGATTAAATGCCAAAATTATGTTAAACCTATGTGAATGCCCTATTTTCTGTTTTTAATTACAAAAAATACAATGTCCTACGCACATTGAACATACTCATATACTATAGGCATTACTAGCCTGTAAACCTAATGCTAACGGTACGCAATGGGCAATCTCCGGCAGCAAGTACGGCGACATGCGGCACTACGTACGATGACGACTAGTTAGATTTGACATTAACAAAGTTTTTACTTACGTGCCGAGTAAATCTTTGAACTCATATCTGTCTTCAACACTTGCATTTTCCTTCTCTTTCTTACGCTGAGGATCTTTCTTTCCAAAAAGAGGCATTATTTTCAAAAAAATGTTATTCTACAAAACCAAAATAATGAACTATAACTGATATTATACAGTGCCTGTTACACTACCGTTTCAACAGCTTCGCCATTACTTTTCGTGTAATACGAAACAACTCTTGTTGATATGACGTCAAGACTTCGCCACGCCTACACCTCTAGCCGTCTTTTGCGCTAAGTAATAAGTAGACATTCAGTAGCTTCAACTGGTCATATTTTAATCCATTTTCCTGTAAAAATTAGTATTGTATTATACTTAAACTATCAATATAATTGGTATTTGGGTTACGTAAAAGTATTTGGTTCTCGTATGGCATATACAGTATGAGTGTGTGTGTGAACGAATTTTAATTTGTAATATAAATGCGTTATTGAATTCACAAAATTCTGTATATATTGCCTTGCATCTAAGAGCATAAAAAGTGCAAAGTCTTAAATGTTCGTGTGTTTTTTATAACATTTAATCACGTAAAATTATTCGGGTTTCCTATAATGAGATGAATATTACATAATGCTGTAGCGATAAAGTGAAATTTTATTCTGGCTATCCTGTTTTAACAACCTGTTTAGTAATATCAATGATGATTACTTTGAAGAATATTAGAAGTATATAAACCCATTTTATTCTTAGTAGAATAAAAGCAAACAATATCTGCTTATAAGATTTTGTGGACATTGGTTCAGCACGTCCCCTGGTGAGTCAGCGGTAAGTTTCTGGGCTTATAATGCTAAATTTCGGCATTCGATTCCCTGCAGTGGACACAATGCAGATAGTCTATTGTGTAGCTTTGCGCTGAAAAGAGACGGACAAATAGTTCAGCATCATCTCACTTGGTGCCTATCATACAGTTTTATTACTCCCATAATAGATTAACTATAGTCAAAATATAACAACAATAACAAAAAAGATAGTAATAGTTCCGTGTTCATTAGTTGCTAACAATCGTAAGAAGATCGTTTGAGAAACATTAACCATCTACTTTACAAGCTTGACACTTTGTCTCAATTTACAGGAGTTTTAAGAACAGGGATGATTGATAAATACTTATGAGATCAGGGCTGAAATTAATTATTTGTTTTTCTTTTTGTTAAAGGAAGTTGGGAGTGAGAAAATTCTAGATGGGCTAAAAAAAACTCTTTAATGTCACATAAGTTATAAACTATGTCTAATGGTTTCTCAAATCTGAAAGACTGTGGAATATAAGCACTTTTGAATGCAGAGGATATTAACATTTGTAATAGTTTTATAGCTTATTAATATGGAAGTCTCTTCTTCAAAATGACAAATGTTAGTCGTCCAGAGCTTTTACAGAATATCGAATACACTTCCTTATATCATTGCCCTCAACATAGCTGACATAAATTTCCTCTGTAGACGTCATTAATAAAAATCCCTGGTGACTCAACGATAAGTATGAAGGCTTATAACTGTGATGGCCCATTGCGTAAGTATAAATTAAAAAATTCTGCATAAATGAAATACCAAACTTAGTTCTCTTAAAAAATAAATACTAATAATTTAACATTCCCCAGACCTAATGGGCCAGCAGTAAGTTTACAGACTTACAATGCTCAAATCCGGGGTTCGATTCCCTGTGGTGGAAGGAGCGCATATAGCCTCTTATGTAGCTTTGCGATACAAAAACAAATAATTATAAATTCGCTTTTAAGGGTTTTCTGACGAATTCACTGAAACTATTACAACATTAAAAATGGGGTTCGAATTCCCGCGATGGACAAAGTGCAGATAGTCCCTCGAGTAACTTTACACTAAAAATAAACAAACTATAAAAGTATCCCCCCCCCCCAGTGGCACAGTGGTAAGTCTGTGAAATTATAACGTCAGAAACCGGATTTCGATACCCGTGAAAGGCACATCACAGATAACCCATTGTGTTGCTTTGTGTTTAACTATAAAGAAACACACTAAAAGTAAAAATTTATTTTAAAAGGTTGAACCTGTTGTAAATCTACAGAAAATTATTATTTCAAATTATGGATATGACTTCATGAATAATTCAAATCTTCCTGTACTTGCGAAATTCAAATTTTTTGATTACTTATCAAAGTTGCCCATAATTGTTTCTAATACAAGATTACAGATAGTCTACATTTTAGAAATTTCTTTGACCAGACACAAATAGTTACAGGCAATCTTTTACGTAATATAGAAATTCAATGTATATATTACATAATTAACAAAAAATGCCAGTTTTATAGCAGCGTTATTTCTTGTCTTTCTTTTTTTATGTTCTACGTAATAGTACAATTATATACATATATATATATGTATATATATCTGTGTATGTGTTTGTGTGCTAAATACGCTTCTGAATATATATGCATTACTTTATTAACGACCTAAATGAGCACGTTTAATTTAGTTTTCAAACGAGCTTTAAACTGACTTTATCTTCTTAATTAATAGTTCAATGAATGAAAGCGAAGAAATACTATTTACGTAAATCACGTGATTTGATTGGATTTGTTTTGAAATTCGCGCAAAGCTACTCAAGAGCCGTCCCTAATTTAGTCGTGATAGACTAGAAAGAAGGCGGCTAGTCAATACCACCCACCGCCAACTCTTGGACTACTCCTTTACCAACGAACAGTGGGATTGACTGTCACATTATAACGTTCCACAGCTGAAAGGGCGACCATGTTTGGTGACGGAGATTTGAATCCATGACTCACAAATTGCAAGTCGAGCGCCCTAACTACCACCAAGCATGCCACGCCTTAAATCATGTTATTAACGAAAAAACAAAATAAATCCTTTACTGTAAATTGACAATCAATATCAAAATAAGATATATGATGTAATGCCACTCAGTAACAGTTTTGTACTTCTTCAGCACGAATATCATTCTTCTGTACTTACAAAAAAACCAAATGAAATTAGTAATACATAGTGTGCCATAATTAAGAGTAAGTCAGTAATAACAAAACTTTTGATAAAAGCAAATAATTAAACGTTAGCTCCAGAATATATCAACATACCATTCAATTAATTTCTACCATTTCAAAATTCAACTAGAATTCTTTAGTTTTTAGATTAATTACAAGTATAACTAATTATGTGGAAAACAGATTTACCTAAATATTGAAACAGAAAGGTGTCAAATCTTTATTCTTAAACCCCCGTTCTTTTAGTTTCCATTGTGGTACCAGTTTTGTAGTATCATACGTTATTTTTCAACACGAACGTGATGACATTTAATAGGAAATCACAACTTCGATCTTAAATATACAACTATTTCGTACATGTAGGGGTCGCTACCACAAAAGAAAAACAAAATTGTTTTAGGGCAAAGCTACAAAATGGGCTATCTCTTCTGTATCCACTGCGGGGAATCGAAAACCGGATTTTAGCATTATTAGTTTGTATCAGTTTGTGATGTCGGCTGTGCACTATTGCGCTGGAATATACGCACGCTTATATTTCATATATTGGTGCGATATATCTTAATAGCAAACGATTAATGTTTTATGTGTCTTGTAAAAAAATAAAGTATTCCATTTTTCTTTACTCACTTTCATTAAATCTTATTGGTTAAAATGCTTTGAATTCAAAGTTAGCTTCAAGCCTACTAAAGTTCTGAAAACCTGCTTATAAAGATTGCTTAGTATATTAATTTACGATTACTCTAAATCTCCTAAGCTGACCAAACTTTGTGAAACTATAGAATTACATTCGAAGGTGTCAAACTGATGATTCAAAGCATTCTAATCATTATAACATTTAGTTTTTTTGATGTACTGATTTATGAGATAAAGTATTCCTAGTAGGTTTGTAACACAACAGTTTATTCATTAAAATTGTAAACTATTTTAGATCTGAACTGTTTCCATAGCTTACGTTTGGTCAGAAGTTCTCAGTAATGTCTTGTACCTCTCTCTATATTTGCACGATTAATGAAAAGGTGTAAATTATTACAGCTTGAAAAGAATCGCTGTTTCCAGTTGATGTATACTCTTAACTATAATAATACACATTTTTGGTATAATTAATAGCACTTAACTTCTTTGTATGCAATTACACGTCGTTTGTAGTAGACCAATATAAATGAAATAATAATGGGGGGGGGGCACACTTGCTGCGTTAAAACAATGAAAATATTTTAAAGTTTGTTTGTTTGAAGTTTAGCGCAAAGCTACACAATGGGCTATTTGTGCTCTGCCCACCACGTTGTAAGTCCGCAGACATACCGCTGTGCCATGGGGGGGGGGGGCGAAAAGCTAAAGATTAACAATCATAAAATCCTCAATAAGTACGTACGAAAATATTCAGACAACGTTACCGTTCAGCAATACAGAGCAATAAAAATTTATACCCCTACTTTTGCTGACTATTTTTGCACGAAAAAAAATTATATTATTAAAAAAACTGAGTATAAGCACTTGTTTCTTATATAATGTAAAAGTTACAATAAAGTCATCAGACAATGTTTTTTCTAGCTTAATGCATAATGTTAAAGGAAAGTGGCTGGATACACTTGCTTCAAGTATAATGCAGAAGTGTTGCAGGAGAGAGCTGTAATGTATAATCACGTTAAATTAGACCCATTGATTTACGTAGAAATGTTCACAACTCACCATATATATATATATAATACACACTCCACCATATATTATTTGATTTTTGAAGACTTACGTCTTTTACATACGTCACAAGTGTCTATTGACGTCAAAAATTTTATTAATTCTCATATAATTACAGGTGATGAATCATTTCAACAAAGACACTTAAAATAAAGATTTTTTTTATAAAATAGGTTTTGGCTTCAAAACATAACACAATGGTTATGTTATTATGAAGAGATGGTTTTGGTTTTGATGTAGTTGTTTGGAATTATTTATGCACATGATTCACCATGAACAACGTGTGACACAAATGAAAATATACAGTGGAAATATAGACATGAAATATCAGTGTCTGACTGGCCACAGGAATATCACGTATAAGTTCTTCGCTTGTTCTCTGTGTGAAATAACTGAAAAAATATTCACACTTCAATTCACCCGTTTAGCTTTTTCATTGGTCCACAAATCAAAATTCTTCTTCAACCATCCAGAGAGTTGCACCAATGATAATAACGGAGAGCGAGAG